AAGGATCTATTCTTTACGGACATATGTATGAACCTTACATAGACCTTTCATATCTCCTATTCACCCTATAACGTGAGGGCACTTGGTAACTCCTTACCTTACAGTAAACCTTAAACCCTAAAACTCCCAACTTGAAGATCTTCCCGATACATCTTGCAGATGATGACGGCGACGCCAGTGAAGTGCAGGATGAGCTGACCGACGCCGGTTGGCAAAATTGAGTTTGCTGGTGCTTACAAAGGATTGGTTGAGTGCCAGAACGAGGGAATTTTATTATATAGGGATGGGTTTGGACCACTTCCCCCTTCAGCACGAGTAAGTTCAGGATTGACCTGTCACCTTGATAGACACCTACGTGTGGATAGGTAAGGATTCCGAGGTTGGGGTCTTGTGGAATTTTAGGTTTACCTTCAACCCTATGTACCGTCAGCTTAGTAGGTTACACTCAGGAACTTTGACTTTACGTACAGTTTGGGGTTAGCTTTAAGGTTGTGGGTTAGGGCTTACGGCGTAGAACTTACAGTGTTTACATGTACGAGTTGTTGTACCTTTCATATGTGTGCGTTTTAGTAACCGTAAACGAGTTGTTGAGGAGTTCCACGGTTGTACTATGAAGGTTTAGCCTAAAATGCTGCCCCACGTGGCCCCAATGGCCCAACACAGCCCTTATATGTATATATGGGCCAATGTATGCCTCCAGGGATACAACCCTGAAATTCTTGAGTTGCCCTTGTTAGGAACTTATGCCTCAAAGGACAGACCTACAGGGCAGTGTCTAAGTACGGTGTACAGTGGATACAACGGCCCCAAAGTAACCATGTAGGAGCCAGACAAGACCTTTTCCTGAAACCTTCTGCAAATCCCTATAAGATCATTCAAGCCTTGTACAAACCTTTGAAAACCAAAAGCCATGGAACGTGCACACTGCCCCCAACCAGCAACATATGGATGATAATGGTAAGATACTCAAGTCTAAGCCCGTCAATATTATCCCTATTATAGACTGTTACTGGGTGAGGGCAGTACCCAATCTGGAACGAGGTTCGGCAGGTCGTAGCTTCGGAGGTTGCCTTCGCTGCGCTGCGAGGCATCAGCTCGTTGCAGCTTTGCTGGGTAGAAGCCCCTTCCATAGAATTTAGTGTTTAGGATTTAGGGTTGAGGATCTCGGGTTTAGGCTCCAGAATTTCCGATTTCAGGTTATGGGCTTTAGGATGTCTAGGGTTTAAGGTTTAGGGGCCCAGGGACCCCAGGATATGTAGGAATGATAAGGAGATGATGCGGGACTAGGCCTTCTGAAATTCCAATGTGGATCAGATCCCTACCTGAGGGGGGGCAGGCTTGAGCGTTTTCGGGGGTCAGGCTCAGGGTGTGGGAGACGTGCGGGGTTTAGGGTTTAGGCTTATACCACCTGGGGAGGGGCGGGCTATTTATATGCGGATTTAGGGTTTAAGGGCTGGCTGTGGGGGTTTTGAGCTGAGATCGTTTAGCATGAAGATGGCTTCCTGGACCCACCAGGATTGGTACCGGCATGTCTTTGGTAGGATTCTTATTAAGAATTCCAGCGAGGGGTTTTGACGTTGGGTTGGGCTTCGGGGTTTAGAGTTTTGGGTGAAGGGCGTAGGGTTGGGGGCTTAGTGTTTTGGGTTGGGGGCTTTAAAATTTGGGGTTTTAGGGGTTGGGACCCATAGAAGATGTATGGGGTTTGTGTCCCTCAGTGTTCGCCTTAGCTTATGCCTGAGATTTTACCTGAGTGTTTACCTGGGTTGTGACCTCAGTTTCGCTTCTTTAAACATATCCATAGCCAATTTGGTGCCGGAAGTTTCTTGTTATCCTCTCTCTTCAGTCCACGATACATGCACCCGAGAGGTGGGGGGTAGCGTGTGGTGAGTGTGGGGAAGGATGGAGCTTTCTTGGGTGTCCCCTTTACCTCTTATACAGTTTAGTCACAATTGCGCCTGAATCAATAGGTAAAACCCATCAAATTGTAGGTACTAGTACTTACTCGGGGTTACAGGTAATCTCATTTCCAGAAATTCAGCAGATCTGGGAGCTAGACATACGGGCGCAGTTAGTTGGGTCGTTTGAAGCAGCTGAAATTTTCTGTGTGCGCAGCGGGATGCCTTTTTTTAGGGTTCAGGGTTCAGGGAACGTGCAGAGATTTCACAACGTCACAAGGTGTTACAAGCTCCCTACTTTGGTATGTCAAAGGGTCAACACTGAGCCTCTTTCATCCTACCTGAGACCAAAAGACCTTCAGTTTGTTGGAGTTCGCATAAGGATGTGGAGGTTTTGGGGTCTGAGGTCAGCCCCACTAAATGGCAAACCAAAGCTGCAGCCACGAACCAAAAAGGTTTCATCCCAAAACCCCTACTAGGCGGTTCAGGGTAAGTACACCCCATATATGGTTATAGTTACGACCCAATCATACCCCGATTAAAGCACCCTGACCCACTGCCGCCTATCTGTAATCCTTGTTCTCTGGACCTTGAATTTAGATGCTTGAGCCTTAGGTGCCAGGAGAGCGAACTACCATTTAATCAAGGAATCTTACTCAACTCAGTAGCAGGGGTTCCAATGTCATTCATGGCATACTCCTGAGAGGTGTCCTTAGGGTATAGTGGGCTCTCGGTGTAAACTTCAAACTCCATTTCGACCAGCAGGCGATGGCTCGGTTGTGACCTGGGGATCGCCGGCTTCTGAGTTGCACTTGGGGCCCATTGCCGGGTTTGCGGTTTAGGGTTTGTGGCTTCGGGTTTGGGATTTCGTGGCTATTTTCAGGTGAAGATTTGGATGTAGCGGTTGGGCCATAGGCAGTTGCGCATTGGAATTCAAATCCCATTTGTGCGGGTATAGTGCTTGCAAGTTCTGTTTAGGGTAAGTAATGTGTTACTTTGGATGGTTCAGATTTCTGAGTTTGATAGTTTGCCATTTGTGGACTCGGGGAGACGTTATTCGGGCAAACTTGCATGCATGTGTGCATAGTTGTATGTACATGTAGTAAGACGTCACAAGGGCTAGGCCGTCAAATATCAGTAGAGGGGACGCGAACCTTGGATAGGTTTTTTATTGGTCCTTGCTACGAGGCGAAGCTTATCGCTAGATCGGCGCTAGCATATATGTATATGCATATATATATATATACCACATGCGCTACTGGGGGTAACAATGCAGATGTTCCTGTCATAGTCAGGGCGGCCCTTCACCTAAAAACTGCAAGCGAGCCAATTTTGGGGATTGACACTTTCACAGGCGACCAGTTTTACATACACTTCCTGATTTCCGGAGCATGGCACACCGACTATTATGGAAAGCCCGTTGATACTGCTAAATTGACGAAATTACTAGTATTCAGGGATCGTATAATCCTTTTAGTATAATGGTGATTATAGTGTCCTATCTATACGGAGGATGAGAGCTGCCAAGACTTAGGATTCCCTTTGTTGGAGGTCCCGATAATTGGAGAACAGTATGTTGGGGTCTATTTTGTGAACCCCTGTTCTGGAATCTACCGTATATCCTTACTTGGTTCAAACATCAAAATCACTATTGTACAAGCCAAAATGCTTACCAATATTATGGTCCCATGATGCCAGTTAGGTGATTATCGCATAGGATATCTCAAATAGACCTCCAAATTGTGCTCGCAATTCTTTAGGCCCCTAGAGTACGTATATCCTGACGGTTCCGATTGGAATACGTCCTGTAATATTTAGGGTACACCACCAGGAGCCGCAATACTGGCAACCCTCAAAATCCCATCATAGGGATCGATGTTTGAGACATGCCTTTTCTGCTTCAAGTCCGCCTTGAGCAGAGGTTGAGACTTTTTGTAAAGTGATCCTGGCATCACTCCAAAGGGTTTATCGTTGTTGAACCCTACCCTGGAGCTCATATGTGGTGCCTGTTTTGGGTTAAGAATAACCTTTGACCAAAAACCATGCCAACCCGTATAAACACCTCTGGGTGTAACCCCAGACCATAGCAGGCCCTTGCGTATCCTGGGGATTCCAGTACTTCTATTAGAAATGCATCGTACCTTAGATATCTCTTTCAAGTCTACTTGAGTGAGAATCTAAGACCAGGCTATTGGTAGTCATAACCCTACACTCAAATGCCGAGCGAGAGAGAGAGAGAGAGAGAGAGAGCTCATTAAGGACTGTGGTGGCGACAGCGAGTCTGTAGAGGAGTGGCAAGTCGAAAGTGGAGGGGAGTAGATCTAGACGATGCGAGACATGATGGAGTGCTTGACTGTGTGGGATCTTGGGTTGGGCTTAAGCTTTGAAATGGAGGGCTTCGCACGTGAAACGCTTTGGGTTCCCTGCGATGCTGGACAGGAGCAGCTCAGCGATGTCCGGTGCCTGAGAGCTAACGAGCGCGCCTTTGCGGCCATCCGAGAGGCATGAGCCAGCATACCGATGTAACCGTTTGGGATTGAGGGCTGCATGGGTTTGAGAGGTGAGAGTCTTTCATGGTTCAGGCCTATAGCGTTCAGGATTCGGGTTTCGGGGCTAACTTACGTCGTAGGCTCAGCATTCCAGGGTTTCTGCATGAACTTGCTTGGAGTTTCCCTATGTATGCACCGTTTGTTATTCGCACATTTCAGCAAGGCCCCTGCCAGATATTGCGCCTCATTGAGGCTTAATTTAACCTGCTGAAAACAGTAAAGGGCCGAGACTATTAAACCCAAAATCCGCAACAAAATTTGCAGCCCTGAACCTTACACCATAAGCCCTGAAGTCCAAGGGTCGCCTAGGGTAAGCCCTTAAGACTGAGCTTCCAATGATCCTTGTATACACCTTCTGGATACCTCAACAGGCCTTGGGTCCGTGACAGACGCCCATACTCCAACTTCACCCAACATTTCCAAAACCGTGCAATTCAGGAATGTATTCTGAACTACACTATGGTCAAAGTGACATATTTTATATGGATTGTGAAGAAACTGTGAAGCTTAGGGTATCTAAATAAATCTGAACAGGACGGTTCAGTCGTTACCTGAGGCGAGTCCTGCGGTGGTGGCGATAGCCGGGCTGTGCAAGATCAACTGCAGAAGGTTCAGGAGAGCTCCTGAAGGGTCAAGGACATCGCGTTTGATTGCAGAAGGTTCAGTAGGGCTCCTTTGAGGTATAGGGCTTACGGCTGCTCACGCAAGTTGAGGGTTGTGCTTCAGTTTGACCCGCTACGGCTATGGCTTGGGGTAACATAGTCATGACATCACGATGATGAAGCCCGTATTGGACTTGCCTCAGGTAGGAACACACTGAAAGTAAAAGCAGGCTATAATTTCTGTCTGCCTATAGTTGCAGTTATAGAGAAACGTCCGTGTTTCGTAGTATGCTTACCTTGGACCTGCCCGACTGTATCTGCGCATTTCTGAGGACCTGCTTCTTGCTTAAAGGCTTAATGCTTATCTCTGGTAAGCAGGGAATGAAGACATGGCAAAGACAATTGAAACTACTATACAATATTGGCAGGTATCTAGTGGCTACTAGAAGGACCACTTGCTTCATTCCTGGACCAATGAGCATTTGTGATTGGTGTCAAGGCGGATGTTAGCCCCGCGTTGATGGAAGTCCGTTGAACAGGACTTACCCCAAGCCCTAAGGATTTAGGGTTCCGTTGCCCGTACGTCAAGCAAGCTTAAGAAGTTCATTTTGGCCTTTTTTCCAGCGACCTCACCCCACCTCACCTTCATTGGTGATTTATGTAGAAAAGTCTCTGAAGCTTTTTCCAGCTTTGGGGTCATTTTACGTGGGCCAGGTCTTCATGCATGCTCTTCCGGAACCATGACAAGCCCTGAGCCCCAATGGACCTTAAATCCTACTACAACGCCTAAACATCCACAAGCCCGAAACCTCAAAGACTTATCCAAGGGCTCCTGGCCAGTTCCTCTTGGGATTTGCTATGGTTTCTGGTAGGGGAGAAGAAAATGCAACCCAACACCCAACGCCCTGGGGCAAACCGTGACGTAAAGCAGGAGATTCAGTCCACGAAGTTCGCCTTCGCCGCGCTTTGCAGCAACGGATCTGTGGTGGCCTGGGGCGAGGCAAGCTTAGGTAGATTTCGGTATATTTCTGCTAGGGGGCTACAGGGTTGTGGCATTCAGCTATGTGGGGCGGGGGAAGGCGTATTATTTGGGGGTGTGGTGGTGGACGTTAGCATTGCAGTGAGCAGGATTGCTTTATCTGATGCCCTTCGAGCGTCGGGTTTCGGCAAGCCATTGGTTGCACTTGTTAACGTTAACAGACATTTTGATGTTCTTGCTTCCCTTGTGTGGCTGCTTCTATGTCTATGTTGGTGACTCTGGACTTGGGTGTGTTTGATTGTGGAACCTGTGTCTGCCAAGTCTCCTTATGTAAGAACAGGTACCTGCAGCTTCACTGCTTCAAGCTTAGCGCTGCAAGTTTATCTGTTTGCCAGGTTTTGTTCCTTTTCCACCACTGGTGATTCATGATGACAAGTGTGAGGTTTCATGACAAGTTGTGGGGCTTCATGAGTACACTAATTTTACCGTACATGCCCGACATCTCGCACCGCCTAGGGCCACTAAAGTACTGTACTTCTTGAGAGGCTCAAGGCGGTGTAGGGATTCAAGCCGTGTCAGGGGTCCGGGGTTGCAGGTGTCCAAGCGCGGCCAGGTGTTGTAAACATCCTTTTCGCAAGGGGTTCTCGGGTACCACCCAAATGGAACTACACATGAGCCCTCGGGGAAGTGTCAGGACTCGTTTTCTGATTGGGTGTCAACAGCACGTGGCATGGTGATGATGACATACGCTCTCAGGTCCTGTACATGCTCAGCCTGTCAACGTGTATGGTGATTGTGGTGGGGTTCTCGCTGAGGGGCTACGTAGACCTGATCAAGATCAGTGACCATGAAGCTCCAGCAATTTTGTTTGCGTCTATTTGGCAACCATAGCGAAATCACAGACGGTTGTAAGGGACATCAATCCACTCGGAAAAAACAACTTCATCTTGTCCTCGTCTGGTATGTTGGGAACCTGGTGAAGTCCCAAGGCCCTACACCCTTAAACTACCATGGTCCCTACACTACCCTGAAGCCTTCACGTTAACAAAATGCCAGAGCAAGCCTGCTAGGAAAGGGCCATCAACAAGTGCTGGGGGATTTCGAAATCATATGGTCTCCGGCAGCACATGCACAGTAGCACACACCACAAACACGGATAGTACTCTCGGAGACAGTTCCACTTGATTGGGTTCTGTTTACGAACCCAGTCTACGAGAATTAGTACTTCATAGAGAATTTCCAGAAAGGGAGCCCAGTTTTTTCGAAACCTGCAAATAAATTAGCCGTTGCCAAGCAATTGGGCTTTGTAAAACTTCACACGGAAGACCGAATTGTTTCTGGTTGTTCTGATTCTAAGCTCTGAACCCAAACGGTTTGGATATGGTGTATGCTAACAATTCTGCCTGATCCTATGTACCTTATACCGGGGGAAGTATGGTATCCCAGTATACCGAGATCATGCAAGATGATGAATATCAACTCGAGGGTTTGGGTTGCAGGGATTAGGGTACTGCTTTCAGCACTCAACGCGTTTCAGTCGATCGAACTCCCTGTTTATGAGTCTCCCTCAAGGGGCCTCCTCCCTCTAGAGGATCGGGGGTCCATAAGGGAACGTTGAGTTGGTACCCTAAACCTTCAATTCACAGTTTGGGGACCCTGGAGTCAGGCTGATTACGTTTTTTGAGTGAGAACATGGCAAAGCCAGACAGGCTGATTACATTCCCCATGAATTGCTCAACGCAACCATTTTGCTGGGGATCTCAAAGGCCCACAACGGGAAATACTAGTCCTGGTTTTCCAGTGTATAGTAACCGTTCACGAATAATTCCCTGAACCTAGAGCGCCGCCCTGCAATGTCGCAGCTTCTTAACACAATCCCTATCCCATGTGCATGTCACTTCTTAGACCTCAGGTGAGCCCCCATCCATAGTTTAGGGTGAACGGTTTGGCAGTCAGTACATTATAGGAATCTACACAGAGCTGGTAAGCACTAAGCAGTCAACCCTAAACCTTGAATCTGACATCCAAAGCCTGAATCCCAAACCCTCTACGCCCGAAATCCTAAACTTGTGGTGGGACTGCCTTTTCGGAGGCTGCATCTGGCGGTGATTGCAGCGCGGTGCAGGTTCGCTGGCCTGTTCTAAAAAGCTACAAAGGGTGGACGTATAGGGTGTAGCGGAGACAGGGTCAGAAAGGATCTGGCAGAGCTAGTGCGGATGCAAGGGAGCATAGCCTTGTTGCAGAGCCGCTCTGCGTGCCAAAGCCTCTCTGCCTTGCCCGGCTTTCGCCTTTGCGCCCTGCTTGTCTTTCCGGTTAATGCCTGGGCCTCAGCTTGGGTCTGTCGAGGGCTGTCAGTCCCGATCGCGCTCTCCGCTGCCTCCGCTTGGGTACGTCAAGCTGTCCAATCGCCGTCTCTGTCTGCTGCTGGGATCTTCTTGTGTGTACGCATCTGGTCCAGGCCTAGGTTTTCACGCTCATGTTCGTGTCCATGCCCTGCATCCGCACGCGCAGTGGGATTTCTAAATGCACTGCAACTGACTTGGGGCAGAGCTGTTGTTCATGTGCATGATAGATGATCGCAGCTTCACAGCTGCAGAGGAGGGCGGCATGCTATGATTGATGGAGGAAAGCTAGCATCAGATCTGGTTCGAAATCATGCGGACTTCTCGGACATGGCGTACTGGGGCAGTAGGTACACGGCAGGATGCAACAATCAGTATGTCTGTAAGCCAGTAGCTTAATGACTCAGGGTTCAAGCTTTGAATTCCGGAAATTTGGACGATTTAATTCCATCTATCAGAATAAGGAGCCTATGTATCCACAATTTTGGTGTTAAAGGCCCTTATTTCCAGTGATTGGGAGTTTAGGTAGTGGCATGTCTCGATTAAATCCCCGGAGAGTAATATTCATTGCGCATGGGCTGGGGGCTGTACTGTTTCCAAGGGGCCTGTTTGAGAATTAGACCCATGCATGAGATGCATGCCTGTCATGGCATACTGTGACAAATACACCCTGACATAAGTATTGAGTACTACCATGTTTCCCAGGGCTAGGTAGATATGGTCAAGCAGGGTTTGTGTTGATCCATCGTATGGTGATGACGATGGCAGCAATTAAGATGGTGATGGCTATCGTCTTGCGTAGTCCTTGTCGCTATCTTCAAAGTGCGGATGCGCAAAGTTGCGTCTTCTTACTGCACCAATTTGGAAGCCACCAACAGCTCGATGACATCACGGAACAACTTTGACTGCTGGCAAGAGCAGCTCTAAAATCATCAAACAAGCGTGCAGTCTAAGAAAGGCACCCTTTCAATCGGCGGTTTCTGTTCAAAGTTTTGCGGGCTCCATGTTTGCGGGCGTGTATCTAGGGGAGCCCGGCCCATCGAAGAAAACGGGGCTGGCCACTCATGACGCTAGAGCTAAGCAACAAGCGCAGAGCAGTCCAGCACGCACTCCTGTTTATAGAGGCCACTTTCTTTGTGCGATCGTGTTTGGGGCTTCCGTTGCGTGATGTTACAGGTTGCATCGGAGAAGATCAAGTCTACCTAGCAGTCAACTTGGGCAGGGTAATCGCAGCTTGCCCTACCATGTTTATGGTGTTTACTGCGGTCACCTCAGAGTTGCCTCCTTCCGTGTGCAAGCGAGTCTTGTCTTGTCTTCAAGCAGCCGACTGTAGGTGTTTGCCAACCCGTATCCGCAACGTCGCTGCTCAAGCATTGTACTTGCGCAGCTTGCGTTGCCTCCTCTCTGCCCTTTCACTGCCTCCAATTGCGAGTATGTCAGACTCCACAGCTGAATGTTGCAGGGCACTTCCCAAATACTGTCCTACGACAAGCACACCATGGTGGAGGGGTTCACGACTCTCTCTCAATCATGACGAAATACTTTGGCAAATTCGATGTTTGAGTCACCGGACTCACGGCCGCCACAGCCGACATCGCTACCAAGCCGTCGGCCAAAGCCATCAGCACTTCCGGAACCAGAAGCATGTGCAAGCACTTTTTGTCCTCAACTGGCTGGCGATGACAGGCTGCGCTCGCGGTCCCGCAGCGCACGTCCCAGCCGCGCACGCACAGCTCAAAGGCCTCACAAACGGGACACACCCCCGAGCATGCCCAAAGAATTGAGACGCTTCGCGCCTATGGACAAACTAGGGAGACGCATTTGCTATGGGTTCAACCTGTCGTGTGGTTGCACCGAGCCCGAGCTGGCAAGCGGCTCCCCAGCCCAGTGCTCCCGCGGCGTGCACAAGTGTATGGCATGCGGATCGCCAGCGCATGGAGCTCATGCCTGCCGCAACAATGGAGCCTGATGGGACAAGCTTAAAAATGTGATGCGCAAAGTCAGTCAAACGCCGTCCGTGACGCGCGATATCCATCCCAGCATTTCCGCAACCCATCAACCAACATGACAGCGCAGCGCAAAACGCAAAAAGACGCATTGCATGTTCCCAGGAAGCCTAGTACCCCGTCACCAATCATGCCTTAATCCATTCTAGGGTTCCTAGTCCTAGCATACTGTTTAGTTAAGGGTCTATTCCTTAATTCCGGTGTACTGGGCGATTTGTGTTGTGGCTCGCTGCATGGCATGGTACAGAAGAGCTGCATGAAGACTCTCTACCCAGCGTGATCGATTGGGCACTGGGGCTTGCGCTCAAGGGCCTATGGGTTAGCTATGCCAGATGCCCAGGTACCTTCCAATGGATTGCTGTTGGTAGTCCCCATGACACTTGATACTGACATAGTATTCATTATTGGCCTCACTAATTGGACTCGTGGGACTGATAACTGGGGCATTCCGACAGTTATGAAGTAGATTGTTGGTATCCCAGCCCCTCCAAGCATGGTGAGTGGAAGGAATCCTGCACGACCCCGAGTATAGTATGCGCATGGGACTCCTGGGATCTGTCAGAGTAACTGTGGATGCAGAGAATCTCTCGTCACATAGGGTCTCGATACTGGGTCACTGTGTAAGAAAGTTGAGGGAGGATCCATCTACCCGTAAATCAACAGCAAGACGCCTGAAGGTTCATGCTTTGAATTCTAGAGACTTGAGAGGCTTCATTTTTCATAGTGTGTGGTGTGGGTTAGGTCTGCAAAGAGAAATCCCCCCCGCTACTGGTGAGAATCTCCATCCCCATCCACCCCCAATAATTATAGTTTTTTACGCCCAATGCATTGCCATCATATGGGCGGGCTGCTTATCTTTAAGGGAGGGGATTGCTTCAGAATTGGTAATTGGAGGGTACGGCTGCCGCTGCTGCTGCGGCTGCTGATGCTGCCGCTGCTACTGCTGCTAATGCTGCTACCGCCACTACCGCCCTGATTAGCATCTGAACCACAGTGACGACGGACGAAATCTTGCATGATCCAAATTATGGCATGCTGCTACAGTTTAGGTGTGTGCAGCAATGAGGGGTTTTGTCCATCAACGGTATGATCCTGAAGATGATGACGACTATCAGTTTGCGCTAACACTGTTGTTATCTTCCATATCGCATTGCCTTGCTGCCTCAAATTGCAAGCCACCTGAAGGCCCAACGACATCATGAAACAAGTTTGCCATGCGCTGTCCATTTGTAATACCATGAGCTCAACATGAAGCGTAGAGCAGTCCAGCATGAAATACCTTCTCCGTGGAGACCAGTGCCTTTAGGGCTTCTGCTGCGTTATATCACGCTATCCTCGCGTGCGCGTGAACAGACTCCATTTGATCGGAAATGCCTGTTAAGCAAACCCGTGCGGAAGGCTCTTGGCCTGATACCGGCGTGACGCGCACGTTGTCTGTTGCATGCCGTCCATGTGCAGTCATTTCAGTTCTCAAGCTTGTAGCTCGCTCTTTCCTTGCAGGCCCCGTAGCTTGTAGCATTTCCAGTTTGTGGTGCCCTGGCTCTGTCTGGAGATGTGTGTCAGGCCTGTGCTGCGGCGTTTGTGGCTTATATGTCCGAGCCAGCGTTTCTGGCCTGTCGCGGGACGTTCCTTGTGGTGCAGGCATGCCCTGCAGACCTTTATCATTCCAGGCATCCGACAAGCCCCAAGTAGGTACCTTCAGGGCCCAACGTAAGTAAGTATTATTAGTTGTTTTGGATGCCCAAGGTTAGCTTTGCAGTGATGCGTCGTCGCATGCCTTTGCCGTGGTGTCGAGCAACGTTTGCTCGTGGCGGCTGGACAATCGCCAGCAGGACAGCCCCTGCGTGCAGGTGATGCAACCACCCGGGCACGGGTTCAGCGCCTGCTTACGACGTTCGTCCCGCGCAGGTGATGCGCCCACCCGAGCGCGGGTCCGGCGCCTGCTGGCGACGTTCGTCCTGCAGGGGACGTTCTCCAGGCGGACCGTGTCCAGTCGGTGCGCTGGCATCAACACGCCTTTGCCATTTGCCGTGGT